CACAACAGACCTGGAGGAGTCCCACACTGGAACGAAAAGGCCATCCAGTGCTTTCAGGTTTTCCATAGTGGTCTAGCTTCAATTGACTCATGATTTCAATCTGTGAAATTAAATGAGATATCAATATGTCATTTCACATATAGATATAAACATTAAGTTTTAGATATTATTTACATAGTTAACTATTTAGAAAAAAACAAACAGTGTTATTCTAGGTCATCATGTCAATCACATTTAAACATCAAGGGACGGAAGGAGCGAATTATAAATTCATACATCTAACACCTATTTCCCTAATGCATATCGTATTGTATTGATGAACATCAATAGTATCAATAATGTTCATATAAACACTGTAGTAGTAGTAGTACATTTGTGTCTTTCAAAGAAAAAAGAAAACACATGTGCCCTGGATCGTGATCTTTATTTAATAAACATAATAATAATAATAATAATAATAATAATAATAATAATAATAATAACCATACACTGTTTTCTCAAGGCCCCTACGAATAATATAAAGATCCATGACATTTTCAGTGTTTGAAATTTCCACACAAAAATATACAAAAATCTTTTTTGTTTCTTTTATATTTACTATGTACTAAAACAAAATACATATTTATTTGTATTACATAATGTATATGCTTTGTAATTGTTCATTTATCCATCTATCTATCTATCTCTATGTAAACTTGCGATTAGAATAAACATTCAATATGTCAACAACAACAACAACAACAACGAAAAGGTTTATAATTCATGTGATATAAATGAAGAAAGGAAGTATCAATGTACTACTAAATTATAAATATCAAAATTAGAAATAAAAAAATTTAAAGCAAAGATGGATAATGGCTAGAAGTGGAATCTAGGACGCGCGTTTCGTCCTAATAGGACCTAATATGTCCACTTCTAGTCACTATTCATCTTTGCATTAAAATGTTTGTGAATTAAGGGTATATCGAGGCAGTACACACAGTATGCACATGTGCCAATAAGAAACTGATGAATTACAGTTCTAAATAACAATCGGAAGATACAAGTAAACAACACAAAGTGAATTTAAACTTTACCCTGTTACACAATCAACTGGTTATCAGGACTCAGTTGCTAAGTGGGTAACATGATGGCGTTTGAAGCGAACGGTACTGAATTCGAGCCACAGAGTGGACATCAACTCTGAGGTGCATGTACGTCCAACTAACGAGTTCCAAATAGGACGAAATGCGCGTCTTGGATTCCACTACTAGCCACTATCCATCTTTTCGTATAATGTTTATGACCTAAGACAATATCGAGGCATCGCGCAGAGGATGTACATATGTCAATAAAAGACTGATCAATTGAAGTCCTAAATAACAATGGGAAGATTCAAGTAAACAATACCAAGTGAATATAAAACATTTAATTTTATTAAAGTTTGTTTATATTAGCTAAGGACTAATTTGTACCAATGCTGATAACTTTCAATCTTATAGTCTAAAAAAAAGCATTTCAACATAGTGCACGCAATACCGAGTCATCTAGGCTAATGGCCATATTGCAGCTTGATCGATAGTATTGGATTTACACCAAGAAGGACTTGACACATATATCGATCATTATTTAGTGAATAATCAATTGTGGAAACATCTCTTTTATTTATACATAAGATGAAGGTTATTGACGAATGCCAGCTAATAAGAAATTTACATCAATTAGTCTCTCTTAAAGATTAAACCCAATTTCTTTATATCTTACAATAATAATAATCATATAATACTGGACTATATATACAACAACTCGCATTATAATCCAGTTATATTTATATGAATTACTTGAAGTAATACTATAACACCGTTGGATATCGGCTCATTGATCTACAGGTTAAACGTTTGTACGCAAAAACAAAAGTACTGAGTTTGAGTGCAGAATCGTGGATACGTACTGCTAAGAAGTTCCATACTAGGACAAAACGGCTGTCTAGTGCTTCCAGGTTTCTTTTAGCGGGCAATCGCTACATATAAGTGTTATTTTTCCCAAGAGTTTGATTTGAATCATTTGAAGCTATCTTTGTATTTTTTATAAAATAGACATTGTAGCGCATCCTAAATTGCTTACTTACTTACGTCTGTTACTCCCAATGAAGCATAGGCCGCCGACCAGCATTCTCCATCCCACTCTGTTCTGGGCCTTCCTTTCCAGTTCTATCCAACTATTGTTCATTCTTCTCATATCTGTCTCTATTTCTCGGCGTAATGTGTTCTTTGGTCTTCCTCTTCTCTTTTGGACTTGAGGATTCCATGTGAGGGCTTGTCTTGTGACGCAGTTCGGTGCTTTCCTCAATGTGTGTCCTATCCACTTCCAGCGTTTCTTCCTAATTTCTTCCTCCACTGGGATCTGGTTTGTTCTCTCCCACAGTAGGTTGTTGCTGATAGTGTCTGGCCAACGGATCCGAAGTATTTTGCGTAGAAAACTGTTAATAAACACTTGTATCTTCTGGATGATCGCTTTCGTAGTTCTTTGAGTTTCTGCCCCATACAGTAGAACTGTTTTGACAGTTGTATTGAAAATTCTGAACTCGGTGTTGGTTAACAGACAGTTGTTTTGAGTTCCAGATGTTGTTCAATTGTAGATATACCTCTCTCGTTTTGACAATCCTTGACTGCATATCTGCATCAGATCCACCGTGTTCATCAATGATGCTGCCCAGATATGTAAAGGTTTTTACATCTTCCAAATCTTCTCCGTCAATTGTTATTGGATCGGTGCATGCATCCTAAATTATTGAATGAAATTAATAAACATAATAAAAGCCTAACTTTGAAATGAAATCCTCAGTGAAAATTATGCTACTATGTGTTATACTTACTTATTAAATGAACGACAAAATGCTAGATATTACACACATAATCAGTACCTCAAGATAAATGGGTCACAAATTTACATACATATACCCTATCTTTTTAATCAACTGTATTTGTCTACTTCTAACTATTAAAGATTTTGTTAAACCTGAAGATTGCTGAATTCAGAGATATTTCGCTAAGCTGATATAAAGTACAAGTAACACTATGTACGAGGTATCATTAAATCGAGAAGCTAAATTCTTTAGTGAAGTAATAGGGGTTTGAACGTAGTATCTTAGAATAGTAGGAAAATATATATTACGTCAAGTCTTTTGTTTCTACAAATGATATACCTTGAAGCGTAGTGACAGAATATCTTCAGCTTGATAGTAATATGCATAGTTTAGAATAATCAATGAACTTCATATTTTCATACTTTCCTCATATCTGGCATAGCTGCATTTTATTGATCACTGCTCTACTCTACAACACAAGGAATATTTCTCCAAGTAACACAATAGTAAGGATATTTTTATGATTGGTTTAATAGGTTTGCTAAGATTGTTCACTTGATGAACTTGAGGTTTAAATAATCAGGCGTTTGAATACATTCGTAGAATGCACACTACTTATGTGTCCTATACAAGAACGTATAAGATGATCCCATAGCTACAATCAGCTTGTGTTATATGCTGTAAGTTTTACAATTTCAACGAATGTTCTACAGAAAATGTATATCAATTCATCATACACATCACTAATCGCATATTCTTATTTCTACATAACGTTGATTGTTTCATCTAACTACATGTCGATATTAAATAGCTAATATAACTTAGTATATATAAGCTAGGTTAAACAATAATTTAGTGACAAATCAAACAAATAGAAATATTATGTGCAAAGATGGATAGTAGCTAGTAATGTAATCCAGGAGGCGTGTTCCTTCCTATTTGGAACTCGTACACTGGATGTACTTACACCTCACGGTTGATGTTCACTCTGTGGCTCAATCTCACTATTGTTCGTTTAAAACGCCATCACGTTATCCACTTAGCTACTGAATCCCAGGGTAAATATCAACTCTGAAATGCAAGTACATCCAACTGACGAGTTCCAAATAAGATGAAACGCGCACATTGGTTATAACTGAAATATTGAATAGCGGGAAAAATGATTGTAACATTACATGTGACGTTACTAACATGAGTTTGGTTTTCTTATTGCTAGACATCAATTAGAACTCCGCCTGGAGTCCCTCCTGGGGCTCCTGCTGGTCCCAAGCCCGGATAAAGAAGGAGAGTTGGGCATGGGGTTAGCTACCCCATCCCGTAGAAAACTAACTCGCTAAAAAACGCTAACCAGAAAAAATTATTTGAACCTTTTAAACTCTGCCCTGGGAGTCAGATGGTCTTCTTCTTCTTCAGGCAGCAAAAAGTAAATGTACTGGAAGGAAAGGAAAAAGCCCTACCTTCAGAACGATGAATAATGCTATTTTATAATAAATTTCCCGTTTTTTTGCACCCGAATTATTATCTTTTAATTTTTCAAAATATCTCTCTTTTTTGTTGCTAATACATCACATTCTTACTTCAGATGCATTTACTAATTTTGACTGTTGTGTTATTGTTTCAGATCATTACCACTTCCAAATAAACGTTAATAATACATGTTACATAACAATAATTTGAACTTTTTAAACACTTGAGATCATGATTCAATTGAAGCTAGACCACCATGGAAAACCTGGAAGCCCTGGACAGCCGTTTCGTCCTAGTATGGGACTCCTCAGCAGTGCGCATCCACGACCTCTCACCCCGCAATATTCGAACCCAGGACCTATCAGTGTCACGCTAGGCGCTTAATCAACTAGACCACTGAGCCGGCCGGCATCTAACGGTGTTAATGTCTAACTTCAACTAATCCACGAAATTGAGCGACACATCCACCATTGTCATCAGTGAGTTACTATCTCACAACTGACTCGATTAAACTCCGCTGGTCACTGCTTCTCACTAGAACTCCAGGATATATATCTTGAAGCCAGTCACTAGTGAGGATGTGTTGATTAGTATCAGAATCAACTGTTTAAGTTACTACGATATCCACAAAACCCCTTTTGATAATAACTTGAACATTTTTTTCAATTTTTTTGTAAATGATATAGAATTTGTATTCAAATTTAACTTTAAATGTTTATTAAAATGAAATAAACATAAAAAGTATTTGTTTAAGTAATAAATAATTAATTAATTAATTAATTAAATTACTTTTATAGTAACTAAGGCAACTAAAAATAACTTGAAAATATACAATATTATGCTGATATTAAAAAAAATCAATAATGTAAACGAGTTCAATTCAATGAAAAATCAATCTAGAATAAACAACAACAACAAAAATATCGAATAGAAATAGTGAATTGGCCATTGAAGTTTATAGTTTCAAAGATAAATAACAAGAGAGAAAAAAAGAAAAAGGAAAAAACAAAAAAGAAAAAACAAAAAAGAAAAAAAGCAAAAAAAGCTTCTATTCAATCAAAATTACGATATCGTCTAGGTACGGCATTATAAAAACAAAAACGATATTCCGGGAAACATCGACAACGATGATAATCTTTTATTTCATTACTTCCTGATGGTATAAAACTCATATAATACCATTCAGTACAACCAAATTTTTGGCATAATTTAAAACATAATTTTGCTGTTGGTACGACACATAAAAAATTTCCAGTAGCTATTTATTGAAAAGAGAATATATAAAAGAAAAGTAAACTAATTAATAATCTATTCTTTATTGATTAATTGTATCAAGAAAAAAAGATATATTGATCAGTTTATGATCTACAACTCATACTAATGATTATCTTCGAGAGGTAGTTCTCGGAGTATTCATGAGAAGTTGTGACCAGTGGAGTTCAAATGTGTTGAATATCAGACAGTTAACCACCAAGGACGATGGGAAATAATCACTCAATGTTGTAGATTGATCGGTGTGCCCTGGTACGGCCGAGAGTAGGGAGAGTCCACTCTCCCCCTCGAAATACTCTCACATGGCCACGCGTATATAGCCACTGCCAGGGAAGCCCTACTCACTGCCTTCTCGTGGCGGGGGTGTCGTTTACGAAAATGAGAGGACGGAAAGCGAATGTCCGGCGCTTTAACCGGATTCCAAATCAATGGTGCACATAGGCTCCAGTATCCTGAGGGAACAAATGGCGTATGAACCAATCGTTGGTCACCGGCCTCCACTGGACTGCATCTCCTTACGATGCTCCACTGCCTTGTGGATCAGACTTTCAGGTCGAAGGCTCGATGAGTGGCCCTCTAAGAAAACCACCTGCTTCGGTTTGGGCACCCGGGCAGTATCACAGCCCTCACACATATCGAATGAGATTTGTGTGGCGCATATCTATTTGGTGCCTCCTTGTACCAATATCTATGTGTTAAAATAAATAAATGATGTTAGACATTAACACTGTTGGACACTAGGTTAAGAGTCTAGAGGTTAGATGTTCACGTGTGGAATTGAAGTGCCTGGGTTCTAGTTCCGTATGTGGGATCGTGGATCAATACGATTGATGAGTCACATACTAGGATGAGAAGACAGTTCAATGCCTTGGGGTTTTCGATAGTAGTCTAATATTGATCTATTTTTTTAATTTCATTAATTAGAATGGTTTCTTTCTTTTTGTTTTGTCAATGCTTTATATGAATTAATCTTACTGTTCCTTTATAAATTGATTTGTTTTATTGCAGATTTGCTATAAGTTTATGTTTAATTAACTTCATTAATTTTCATGTAAATATATTAAAATCCATAATTTAAAAACTAACATCTCAATAAAATTTGCCACTAACAATCATAGTCAATAAATTCGGCCACAAATCATAGAGATATCACATAACAAACGAACATATGTATGCAAAGACAGATTGTAGTTGGCAGTGGAATCCAGGACACGCGTTTCGTCCTATTTGAACTCGTCAGCTGGATGTACCTGCATCCTAGAGTTGATGCACATATGCCAACAAGAGATTGATCAATTGCAGTCCTAAATAACAATGGGAAAATACAAGTGAATTTAAACTTCACTCCGTTGCACAAACAAGTGGCTATCAGGACTCAGTAGCTAAGTAGATGACGTGATGACGTTTGAAGCGAACCGTATTGAGTTCGAGCCCCTGAGTGAACCTCAACTGTGGGATGCAGGTAAATGCAGTTGACGAGCCACAACTAAGATGAAACGCGCGTCAAACTGGATTCCACTGCTAGTCACTATACACCTTTGCATATAATGCTTGTGAATTAAGGCTCTATCGAGGCAATACAGAAAGTATGCACATTTGTCAATAAGAGACTGATCAATTGCAGTCCTAAATAACAATGGGAAAATTCAAGTAAAACAACACCAAGTAAATTTGAACATGTATATCGTTCACTTATAATCAACAAATTGTAAGAGACCATTTTGTATTCACTAGTTACTGAATTCCAGAAGTCAAGACTAATGTTATTTAGTCTTGCCAAATATGAGAATAGTATAACCGATAGTTACAGATGATAATCGCTCAATATAATGATTAATGACATAACACGACTGAATGTCAACCAATGAGTTCAAATGCAGTATTTAAATTGGTTTTAAGTCTTTATCTTTATATTTAGTTGAAATTGTGAGTGTCCATTAATAAGGAGTTCTTTGAATAGGCAAAACATCTATGCCATATTTAATAATTCCCTATTCATCTATCAATCATGACTATTTCTTATATGTAAGATTTTTTCAAAATAACAACATATAAGAAGTTAGAAATTTAGTGATCTGGATTTCTATTGAAATCACATCTTTTCTTCATGGAATCATATCTGGCTAGCTTACATACTTATTTACTCCTGTTACCTCTCACACAGGAGCATAGGCCACACACCGGCATCCTTCATCCAACTCTGTCCTGCGCTATCCTTTCCAGTTTTTTCCAGTTGTTATTCATCCTTTTCATATGTGCTTTCGATTCCCGATGTCATGTATTCTTCAGCCTTCCTCTTTTCCGTTTCCATTCAGCAGTTACTCAAAGTATTCCACCCATCCGTTCCTCTGTCCCCGAATTTCAGTGATTGGCTCGCCTTCTTTGTCCTTGACCGGTTTCTTTGGTTTACTATATTTCCCTGCCAGTTTCTTTGTCGTGTCATATAGTTGTTTCATGTTTCCTTCTTTGGCAGTTTTTTCCACTGTCGCTGCTTGCCGGCTCTAATGCTCTTCATTTGTTTGTTTGCTTCGGTGTATTCAGCTTGTGCCTTGAGTTTCTCTGTTCTCGAATTCGTTGAGTTTGTCAGTATACCGAAGGAAGACAGTATTAAACCTTTGTAATGCTGTTTCTTTAGGTGTCCAAAGCTTCTTTAGCTGAAGTTTCATCTTGAACACAACCAGGTGGTGGTCTGAAACTATGATGTCTTCATACTCAATGTTGTCCATCCCGATTTTGGTGTTTAGTTCTCTCACCAGGATTATCAGATCCTTTACTGGGCACCTTGCTTCGGTCGATTGCAGCCTCTCATAAAAGTGATCTTCATTGTCGTCGTTGCTATCATTGATGAGTGCACAAAACTGGATAACATACATTGTGGTTTCCACTTTCTTTGTTTTAAATGATGCTTTGATGATTCTGAATTCATGAGATTCCCATCCTATAAGTGCATTACGTGCTTATTTGGACAGCATCAAAGCAATTTCCTGTGTGTGTGGAGCGATCTTCCCCTCGTGACTAGAGTAAATTAGCATCTCACCCGTATCTAGCGTTTGCTGTGCAGCTTAGGTTCAATGGGTTCTGCTGTTTCCGAGTACTGCCAAGTTGCATTTCCTCATTTCCGTTGCTATTTGACTGGACCATCCAGGCTCCCACATTCTCCGGACGTTCCATGTACCTATAAAAATTGTTACTCTGATTGTTAGAAGGGGCATCGGCCTCGTGACTTCCGAAGAATCTTGACTTTCTTCATGACGCGTCATAATTCTTCCTTCAACTCCCAGGGCAGAGTTCAAACAATTTAATTTATTTAGTCTGGTTGGCGTTTTTTAATAAGATTCGACTCCATACCCAACCCACCTTCTTTATCCGGGCTTGGGACCGGCGTAAGCCCTAGAATAGTTACAGGCGGAGTTACATCTAGCTTGGGATTAATAATGAAAATCGAAAGCATAGGTGAGCGACAAAAACAATTTGATGATAACTGTCAAAGATAATTTATCAAAAGAAAAACCTAATTCACACCCAAACTAAATAATAAAGGCTACAAATATCTAGAATTCTAGACATTGATAAGTCATTTTGTAGTAACTAATTCAGAAAATTGAATTCGGGAGCCGACCTAAGCTAGAGCACTATTGAAAACCTGAAAGCACTGGACGACCGTTTCATCCTAGTTTGGGACTAGTCAGCAGTACGCACTCACGATTCCGCACTCGAATCCAGGACCTCCATTTTTACACGCAAACGTTTAACTTGTAGATCAGTGAGCCGACATCTAACGGTGTTAATGTCTAACTTCAGTCGATCGATAATCTTGCGCAACCCTTTATTCTTTGTACCTTATCATGGTCCATCAGTTGAAAATGTATTTGTTAGGTATTCAATTTCGTTTGATTTGGCCTTCAGGAATCTCCTATTTACGATCGATACAGATCATTGTTAAACAAATGGAATCTACTGTAGGTAAAATAAGATCATAACTGACACCTATAACGTTTCAATAATAACCCTAACAAATGGTATCATTAAAGAAGTCAGTCATATAAAGAAAAATTTGATGTTTAACAATGATAAAACGAGATGGATTCATTCTATATTACATAATAACTAAACAAGACTTTGAAATATAGAAAAACTACCGAATCAAAAGTAATGACGACCATTCAATAATACAAATTTTAAAAAACTTTAATCACAGTCACAGTTACAAGAAAGAACTAAAGTTTATTGACATAACTAGATAATTTGAGATTCTCTTAATAGTACTACATTGATGTCACTTACAATCTGAACCACCGTGGAAAACCTGGAAGCACTGGACGGTCAACTTGTCCTATTATGGGACTCCTAAGCAGTACGCATCCACGACCCCACCCCGCGAAGTTCGAACTCACGATATATCGGTCTTGCGTGCGGACGCTTAACCTCTAGACCACTGAGCCTGCATTCAATTGTGTTAATGCCTAACTTCAACTAAACATCTGTGCAAATTTAAAATGATAGTTGAGTAACAAAACAAATGCTCAAATGATCTACGGAATTAATTCCTATGAAGTGATGCTGTCAATTAAGTAGGAAGTGAGTAAATTAACATTATCAGTTTTATTTCCAAACATTTTTCGTTATCTTACATAGGCTATAGGAATATACATCAATAAACTTAACGAGACTGATAGGTCCTGGGTTCGAATCCAGCGAGGCAGGGGCGTGAATGCTCACTTCTGAGGAGTCCCACAAGGGGATGAAACGGTCATCCAGTGCCTCTAGGCTTTCCATGGTGGTCTAAATTTAACTGACTCATGACTTCAGCTATTGAAAAAAACTTAACTTCTATATGCGGTTATGAAATTTTACCAAAGTTTTCATTTTAGTTTTATAAATGTTGTATTATTAACTGACTACGATATTGTGAAATTAACATTACATTGTGTCTCACTCATCTTACATTAACTGTTTATTTTGATTAACAATGTCATACGTTTAAATGACCTATGAACTAAATCGACTTAAAATTACAAACCAGTCACTGGAACATGAACAGGTTACTGTGATTTTAAAAGATGTAGTTACTGTAAACTTGGCCACTCAATTCAGTAAACTCAATTTTGATGGAGTTTTGTTCCCCGAACTGGATGATTTAGTCGTCGAGCTTCGATCGTTCATCTAAACGACATCATCAGCACAAACTTGATCGTTTTTTGGCTAACGGAGGGTTGTGGAGACTGTCAAATTATCAAGGGTTACACCATATGATTATGTTAAACAACCATTCAGAATCAGAATGGACTGAACAGCTATTTGTTTCTAATACGGGACATTGTTCATCTATGATCCTACCGAGACATTTAGCTTCTAGTCTAATAAACATGTAAAAACATGATATATTCAGGGTGTGAAGTTAGTTGGTTAGTTAGGGAATATTCACAACTTACCATTATGAAATCGATAATCATCTTCTGGACATGGTTTTGTAAATGTTAATTTATCCATTAAATTGTTATTTGTATATATATCTGTAACATTTATGTATAAACAAAATGTAAATCATTACTACATCGTATACTTTGAGATAAATATACATAACTGTGCATAATTATTATTCACAATTTAAAAGTACCATAACTATGTAACATAAGAAAATTATCCCCAAATATATTCAGAGAGAGGTTTTGTGGATATTATAGTAATTTAATAGTTGAGATCATGAGCTGTTTCAACTCAGTACGGGACTCCTCAACAGTGCGCATCCACGATCCCTCCTCGCGAGATTCGAACCCAAGACCTATCGGTCTCGCGCGCGAACGCTTAACCTCATGACCACTAAGCCGGCTGACATCCAACGTTGTTAATATATAACTTTAAATAATCTAGCTTCAATTGACTCATGAATTCAACTATTAAATTACTATAATATCTACAAAACCCCTCTCTGATAATAATGAATTAAAAGATGATTTTCCGTTTTGGTTTCAACATAGTTGATCACACAAGTCTGAGCCTCTTACATTTATGTAAAACTAAGTCTATAGTGGGAAGCTCATTAATATATCATCATTCTATTAGGGTGTCGCGGAGGTTTGGTTCTCAAAATAGACTTCTTCGGTGTTTGTATTTTTACGTGATTGTTCAGCTGATGTTAATCGATTACAGAAATAATCGTCAGATTATTTAATCTACTTTTGTCATTCAGAAAGACTAAAGGTAACCTAACCACGATCTTTAGATTGATATATCATCGTTTGGTTTGTCTTTCAGAATAGAGCATTTATGAGGAAATTCCAAAAATGTTCTCAGACTTTTCCATCTTATCAATAACCCGTGGAATTCTCTACCTTATGACATGATTAAACCTTCATTCAGGTACTCTGAATAGCTTCATAAGTTGTTCATATGTTTCAACTTGACTGTTTCTTAGTCTCTAATATTCAGTTGAACTATTGTAGTGAAGGAGAACACAGGTTTATCAGAACATTACAGAGTGACTTGGTAAAACAGAAAACCCATACTATAATACCTAACTCTCAAAATGTTAAATAATTGTCCCGGACTTCATTGTTCTTGCATTTCTATACTAATTGCTTTCTATTCCCGTTCTTCCTTTCTTGATCTTCTCAATCTTCTGCTACCAGACATTACATTTCTGACTCGAGTTATATACTACTTATGTCAATATAAATAGCAAGCACGACACTATCAGTAACTTAAGAATAATACTTATAATCACTTCCTTTAATATTATATATTTCATTCAGCAAAATAAACAATTTTCAATATAAGTTTGCGATTCACTTGGTGTTGTTTTACTTGTATCTTTCCATTGTTGTTTAGGACTGCAATTGATCAGTCTTATGTTGGCATATGTGCATCCTGTACGGATTGCCTCGATATAACCTCAAGTTACAAACTTTTTAAGCAAAGATGGATAGTGGCTAGCAGTGGACGAAACGCGAGTCCTGGATTTCACTGCTAGCCACTATCCATCTTTGCTTAATAAGTATACAATATTACAACTAGTTCACTTTCTTACATCTAATCAACTTTTGAATATTTAAGAACATATATTGATGAAACTTCATCATAAGTAACTGCTCTGGTGGTATTCTTTCTTGGTAAAACAAATGAAATACAAGAATTTCACTGTAATCTCCAGTGGCTTATCTAGAGGGTTAATAAGGATTTAAATAATGTACCCAACTAGGTGGTTCCGCTTAAACCTTCTAATAGTTAAAATTCAGAATTAGTTTATTTGTAAAAAAAAGTCTATAAACAGGCATTTAGGCATAAAAGGAGTATGAAAAGGCTCCTTTAGACATTAACATGGAATTCCTAAATTTTAAAATATATACTTTAAATCATATTATTGGCGGCCTACTTGAGTATCTGAGCTACCTGTTCCTGTTTTTTGTTTGTTTTAACACACCATTATGTTTGTTATTCAGGTAATCTATTCAGATGACTTAATGAAAAGTTTACAACTTTTCACTGTACAAGTTATAAAAATGCCCAGAGATATTGTTATAGTTAGTTATATAATATACCTTTATGGGCGAGGACAATTTTACATTGGTTTTCAGGAGATTCAGATATCATCCAGACATTCACGTAACAACCCAAACAGTACAGCTCAATCCCGTTTAACAGGAGAGTCAGACACCGCCCAGGCTTAAAATTTGTAGCCAAAATGGTACGGATCAATCCCGTTTCCAGGAGAACTAGACACCATATAGGCTTTAACGCTACAATCTGAATAGTACAGTTCAATCCTGTAGCGCAACTACACAAGTACGAAGCACCCTGATAGACCATTTACACCATTCATATACACATTCACGTCACATGTATAATTATTCTGATCAATGATCGCGTGAATTGATTATTCACAGCAGGACTAGGCCAAAATTGATCTATTCCGCTTACATGACAGTTAAACTCATTAATATTAACAATGGTAATATGCCATTCAATCGGTAATAGCGACGGTGTGGTCTATTGGTTAAGTTTTTGGTCTAGCATTCAGAGATATTGTGGTTGCTGATAATATATATCGAAATGAATTTACATTATTCAGATGTCGATTCCTGAAACGCTAACTTATAACTGATGACCACTTAATATTTATTGTCACGATCGATCAATAAGGAAGATACTTACTGACATACCTTGTGCTGAGAATTCTATATTGTACCAAGAATATAATATTGAATATGGCTAATAATAATAATACTAATATAAACATATAATACAACATTTTATAACATAAAACAATCACTAAGCATAATACTTACAATCACCAATTGTCTGATAAACAAATGTAGATAAGATTGTACAATATAATAATATTGATGTTTGTAATATACTACTAATTAAATTCCTTTTTAATTCAAACATTAACAAGCTCTACTTTTATATCTCACAAGCAATTAATAATAGTAATAATAATAATAGTAATAATAGAATAATATAACTATGTGTATAATGTTCCAAATACAATGTCGGGTATTTACAATGAATACAATTGTATTGTCTACTGTAAATTGATAGATAGGTTTTTCTTTTCAATGCTTCCACTTTATTGTAATTCATATGTATATATAGGTATCTATAATATTAACAATGATTGGGTAAACCTATTTACACCAATTATATATATGATATAAAAGGTGACAGAATCAACTACAGATTTTCAGCAATATTGTGTACATAAACATGTGGTGATATATATATATATATATATATATATATATATATATATATATATTTGTTCACACCGTTGGATGCCGGCTCAGTGGTCTAGGGGTTAAGCGCTCGTGCGCGTAACTGATAGATCCTGGGTTCGAACCCCGCGGGGTGCGGGATCGTGGATGAGGAGTCCCATACTAGGGTGAAACGGCCGTCCAGTACTTTCAGGTTTTCCATAGTGGTCTAGCTTCAATTGACTCATCATTTTTATTTGCCAAAGAATATGAATATTATCATATTTATAGAATATTATTGTTTTTAAGTAATTTTCTGATTATATATATTTTACTCAGTAATATTGTGGTGTATGCTGCTGATTTCAATAGATATAAGTAGCCTGTATCGTTAATGAAATACCTGATAACAGAAGGTTAAGGACATTAAAGAAAAGAGAACGAGAACAGTAAACAATCCCTGTGGAAATAATGGAACAGTGAAATCTGAGACAATTGATGGATATGGTGCAAATTTAGTATTTACTAGATTTTACTAAGATATTCCGTAATTTTGTGTTTAAATTATATTCGATTGTCCCTAATTGTGTTCATGCTCACTACAATTTCAACTAGAAATGTGATTAAAAAAGCGGAAGTTTATTCAAAGGGAAAATTAATACTTTAAATATATCACTAAGAGAAGTTATTTAAAGAAATTTTTTACAAAATGGTCACTAGATTACATTCGATTATCCCCACTTGTGTTCTCATTCACTACAACATTACTTTTGGTTACTTCATATTTATATTTATTATCCATTTCAGTTCTACAGGAGGTCGGTCGCGGCCCGGATAGCTCAGTGATAACGTCTCTGACTGTGAAGCTGGGTGACACAAGATGGAATCCGCCAGGGAGCATCAGTTCCCTCAAGATTACAGGTACACCTTGCTGACGAGTGCCAAGTAGCACGAAACCCGGATCCAGGGTTTCCTGTTGACTACCTCAAACCAATATCTAATCTCAATACATAGTGCCCGCAGTGTCGAGTCACCTAGACTGGTGGCCACATTGCAACATGGTCGATAGCATTCGATTTGCACTAATAAGGACTAGACAAGCATGACATTGATCACCACCCAGTGATCAATCAATTGTGAGTATATCAAATACCCTATTTACATACTGACTATATTACCCGTAAATCTCTCAGTATCTATCTAAACAATCTTAATTGGTAAAACTCAGCTTGCTAAATAAGTTGATTTTTAAATGATCATTTACATCAAAATAGTGACAGGTTTTATACACATAGTACCCTTTATCATTTTGAAAAGAGCAAGAACAAAGATTCTAGCAGAATAACATGAATTCATTTTATTTCTTAGGTTCTCGTCAGCTGCCTACAACCTATAGTATTTAATAAGATAATAATTACATAATGGGTTTAAATTGCTTACATGAGAGGGTTTATATTGAAGACATATTCGTAAAGTATGACATGGGTGTAAATGAAATTAATAGGCTGAATATTGTAAATATATACCTAATGTGAAAGAATATTCTAGAGCATTAATTGTGACAACAGTTCAGAAGGCGGTTAGAAACAATTGATTACATAATGAATAAACATTGATAGGAAAATAGTGAGTAGAGTTCAGTTGAAAGATTATTAATTTTTTTTATAAAGATAGTTGAAAAATAAAATCAATGACGTAATAAATATATAAGATAAAAATTTTAAAAAAAATTTCAGTTGCAGTGGAAGAATATTTGTCACCAAGGCAGGGAAAGATTAACAAACATCTCCTTTTGAACACATAAATCAGGTTTTTGGCGCTTGATAGCAACTGCCTCAGCAAACTTCAGAAGACTGGAGTTTGGCTGCTTACTAATAACCTTGAATGATTGTAGGGTGTCAACCTGATGGCCTGTGTCAAGGAGATGTTTAGTGATTGCACTACTTAGAGTCTTTCTTTCTCTTGTTCTGAGGTTTTTTGGAACATGTTCAAAAAATCTGAGATATGCCCTCCTTTCTGTTCGGCCAATGTAGCTGCTTTGGCAGGTACATGTAAATTTATAAATACAATTGGCGGTAACATGAAAAGGATGCTTATCAACCTTTGATTGAGTTATTGAACATGTTGTTTTATACAGAATTTGAAGTTTGGCCCCCGGATGTTTATTCATTATGTAATCAATTGTTTCTAACCGCCTTCTGAACTGGGCACCCGAGCAGTATCCTAGCCTTCATATAAATCAATGAATACTGCTACTGGCCTCATTGTTATTGTGTGGTGCATATGTATTCGGTGAACAGTTGTATCAATGTTTATGTGTTAAAATAATAGTTTATTTATAACATTTCTGATCAACTGAACACTAGTGTCACAGAAATAAAATTTAATCGCATGTTATTTGGATTGTATCAATGGCGAACTAAATTGATTTTATATTCCGTTAGCCCACATTTTAAATTCACTTGGTGTTGTTTTACTTGTATCTTTCCATTGTTGTTTAGGACTGCAATTGATCAGTCTCATGTTGGCCTATGTGCACCCTGTGCGGATTGCCTCGATATAGCATTAAGTCACAAGCTTTTTAAACTTAGATTATTCTAAAGAATTTATTTTCAGTGGTTGAGATCATGAATCGATTGAAGCTAGACCACCATGGAAAGCCTAGAAGCACTGGATGGCCGTTTTGCCCTATTGTGGGATTCTTTAGCAGTGCGCACCCACGATCCCGTCTCACGAATTTCGAACCTAGGACCTATCAGTCTCGCGCGCGAGCAACTAACCACTAGAACACTGAGCCGGCTGGCATCCAACGGTGTTAATGTCTAACTTCAACAAATCCACGAAATCGAACGACACATCCACCATTGTCTTCAGTCAGTTACTATCTCACAACAGACCTGGTCGAGCTTCAATTGACTCATGATCTCAACCATTTAAATTAATACAATATCCACAAAAACCCTTCTGATACGAATTTATTATTTATTTGATATCTTACAAGATTAGTTCATTCACATATGTCAAACGTGATACAAAAGAAACTAAGTTTATGACGTAAAGGTATCTCAATGTATGTTTGTGTGTGTTTGCGCAGAAAACAATGATTTATATTTTTCTAATAAAATGGTATCCAGTAATGTAGATGATTAACATCGACCAGGTAATCATCTTTCAACGTCATTGATCAGTGATAGTTTCACACTCAACATTGTCGAACTCCAATGATTACGATTTGTGTCATTACAACTCGAAAAATTTACCTATCAAAAATTAATCACCAGTGAATAATTACTATTACTTAGTCACTTGCTTACACTTGTTAATCCTCACGGAGGACCATAGACCGCCTACTACCACTCTCATTCCAACTCTTTGCTGGGCAATACTTTACAGTTCTTTCCAGTTGTTATTTATTCTTTTCATATCTGCTTTCGATTCCCGACCTATTGTGTTCTTCGGCCTTCCTCTTTTTCGCTTCCCTTCAGGATTCCAAGTTAGGGTTTGCCTCGTGATACAGTTTAATGATTTCTGTAATGCATATCTTATCCACTTCCAACATCTTTTCCTAATTTTCTCTTCACTTGGAAGTTGGTTTGTTCTCTCCCACAGTAGGCTATTGCTGATGGTACCCGGCTCACGGATATTGAGTAGAAAATATTGCATAGACAATCGTTTATAAATACTTACACCTTCTTGATGATGGTTGTAGTAACTCTCTATGTTTCAGCTCCATACAATAGGACTGTCTTTCCATTCGTATTGAAGATTCTGATTTTGATATTGGTTGACAGTTGTTTTGATTTTCATAAGTCCATCAATTGTAGGGATGCCATCCTTACTTTACTAATCCTCTCCTTTACATCTGCATCAGATCATCCTTGTTCATTGATGATGCTTCCTAGGTACATGAATGCTTCGATCTCTTGTAAATTTTTCTCCATCAATTACTATTAGTATAAATGGATTGTTAGAATTAATACATTTTTTCTAATGTATACTTATATTATCATTAATATACTATTACAATTAAACTAATATAAAACATCAACGACAGATAGATCAAGTTTTTTTTTGTTTTTGATCTGGATCTTTTTTATCCAATAAATAGTTTATCATTTCTATTTCCTTTCGTTTTTTTTTCCCTTACAAGATTCAAAATTGATTACATAACAATAATCATTACTTGATTGTTTAAAATAAACATTACTAGTCATTTATCATGTTTACACCATGAAACATACGTAAACAATCTAGTTACTAATGGATAATTAGAAACTTATTTTTTTAATTTTTTTTGTTTATTTAGAACTTGATCGTGTCAAAAAAAGAAAAAAAAATTGTAAATCCACGTATCATCATAATGCCTTAATCCTGATGAAGTGAATTCAAACTATTTACTTAGTGACAGTTAAAATTTAACTGATAATCTAAACTATTTCATATATCTAAATATAGATATGGACACGTATGAACACCAAAAGATCCTAATCTTATGGAACTTTGTTCTTAATAAAGTTATATTGGAAGTTTATTGTTAATGTAAAATTGATGAGATGATAATGAATGAATGATCTTTGAATGATTCTAAAGTGACCTTGAGAATGTCTACCTACTTAATAGGGTTAAATGAAGGTTATAAAGTAGTGTGAAGAATAAAGATGATATTTAGATGGTGGTTGGAGGTAGTCAACAGGAAACCCTGGATCCGGGTTTCGTGCTACTTGGCACTCGTCAGCAAGGTGTACCTGTAATCTTGAGGGAACTGGTGCTCCTTGGTGGATTCCATCTTGTGTCACCCAGCTTCACAGTCAGAGACGTTACCACTGAGCTATCCGAGCCGTGACTAAAGGGCGGTATGCTTGAGCATTTGGGCTACCTGTTTCTGCCACC